CACAAATATTCCATATTTTCCAACAATTCCATCTCTTCTTTAAAGTCCCTGTTGATGCTTCAAACACGTTATCAGCTACAAAGAGGAAGAATCAGACCTTTTCAGAGTGTAAAACCAGAAGAATTCAGAAACAAACTCACTGAAATTTCTCCTTTTTTCCTTTTCAGTTTTCCCATTTCTTTTCCTTCAGTACTCTACATGGATTCTTCTTTTAAAGAAGAATATGGAAATCCAGTAAGCTTTTTGCGGGTTGATGGCCCTATAATTGTAGGTGCGGGGCCATCAGGTTTAGCTGTTGCAGCTTGCCTCAAACAAAATGGCGTGCCCTCTCTCATTCTGGAAAGGAGTCAATGCATTGCATCTTTATGGCAACAAAAAACCTACGATCGTCTCAAACTCCATCTCCCTAAAAAGTTTTGTGAACTTCCATTCCTTAGTTTTCCCGAAAACTTTCCTAAATACCCCACAAAACATCAGTTCATATCATACATGGAGTCATATGCCAGACACTTTTCAATTGAGCCCATATTCAACAAAGTTGTGGAAACTGCAGAGTTTGATCATGTTAGGCAATTCTGGAGGGTTCGAACTCAGGATTTTGAGTATCGTTCAAGGTGGCTTATAGTTGCCACGGGCGAAAATGCCGACTCGCTTATACCGCAGATTCAAGGAATCGAGCAGTTCCGGGGGCCTGTAATTCATACCAGTGTGTATAAGTCCGGTTCTGAGTTCAGGAACCAGAGGGTTTTAGTTGTGGGTTGTGGTAATTCTGGCATGGAAGTTAGCTTAGACCTCTGTAGACATAATGCAAGCCCTCACATGGTGATCAGAAACTCTGTAAGTAGATTTATCTATCCCTCGACTGCGTTTCGACATAATTTCTACATACCAAAAAGACCCTGATTTTGTACTTGGTAACAAACATGTTACTAATTTGTTCGTCTTTTACTTTATAAACATGGTCGTATATTAAAGTTATTTTAAAAAATTGTTATTTGCTTATCTTATCCACATTTTATTATTCAGGTTCATATTTTACCTAGGGAAATGTTTGGTATTTCTACATTTTCAGTAGCCATGAAACTTCTTAAATGGTTGCCTTTAAGACTAGTGGACAAGTTTCTCCTGCTGGTGGCCAACTTCACCTTGGGCAACACAGAGAGATTAGGTCTCCGACGGCCAAAAACCGGCCCAATCGAGCTCAAAAACGCCACCGGAAAGACTCCCGTGATAGATGTTGGAGCTTTATCACAAATCAAATCCGGTAAAATAAAGGTAATTACATGATTTTTGCACTTTTTATGTGTACCCTGAGTTGTGCTACAGCCATA